TACGGTGAGATGCTGGTGAGGGAGATTGCGATGGTGTGGAGCAGCCGGCTGTTGTCTACCGCACGTTTTCTTGGTCGTGAGTGTGGCCTGATAGACCCACGCGGCAAATAAATGTGCGAGTGAAATGTGGACAGTGGAGGCGGATGCGGCGAATGTAGGTTGGTGCTCCAGACACTGGTTCGCCAGTCTTTGTGTGATGGATTCGCAAGTGACCGACCAGATCGATGCCCGAGTCGAATGTGCGGGGACAGGGTGGAGAGAAGTCTGCGGTGTCAATATCAGTTTCGGTGTTTGAAATGGTTGAGTTGGTGGTGGTGGTGGGCGTAATGGGCGACGGAGTGTGGGTTGGGCTGAGCATGGTGGGTGTGCACTATGTGCCGAGTGTGATGGAGCTGATGGCGGTGAGCGCGCAGGGCGACGGAGTGATGGCGGGGATAGGTATGGTGGGTGTGCTGGATGGGCTAGGTGTGTCGGGGCTGCGGTCAATTTTGCTCTCGTGGATACGCATGTGGCCGAATAGGCCAACGAGTAGCTGGTATGTGATGCAAGTATAGACAGTGAAGGTGGGTGAGGGAGGTACTGATTGGTGCTCCAGACACTGGTTCGCCAGTCTATGTGCAACGGATTGGCAGGTGACCGACCAGGCGGATTTGTGAGGTAAAACTGCAGTCGCAGTGAGGACAGGTATAGAGCAGGTCCTCAACTCTGGTGTCGTCAGTGGTGTTGGTGTTTAAGGATGTGTCAGTATTGTCTGCAGTGTTGATGAGCACGGCAGACGTCACAGAGGTAGACGTTGAGGTGGTGGAGCAGGAGGAGGAGGAGGATGGTAGTTCTTGTTCTGGAGGGCGGTCAACTTTAGCTGACGGCTTGCGAAGCGAGGGAGAGGTGGATGGAGAGACGGCGGTTGATGCAGTCCGAATGCTATGTTAGTTCGAGGTGATCAGAAAGGCCACTTGGCGCCTGGAATGTCTTTCAACATCGTGGATACGTTGGAGGTGGTTGGGCGCTGGCATTGTGAAGCGGCGGCGGCAGTTGAGATTTACCTTTCTCGCATTTGGCGTTGTCGGCGGTGATGAGGTTGGCTCCGAAGATTGCTACGCCTGTCTTTACTGTTCTCCTCCACGTAGGTCTTTTTCGGGCGAGGTCTTCTTAGTTTGCCATGTTGATCTGCAAGCGCTTCAGGGAGGTTTTCAGA